TAATAATATATTGATTAAGTGGAATTATATTGCGTATTGACTAGAAAGCTAGATATTAATATAGACATTGCATAGAGACTGTTGTAGACATCATTAAGGAATAATAATTGTGATAATTAATATAGGTAGCATGTACTGGTAACTGTGATATAACTTAATAGAATACTTCAGATGATTTATAGAGAATTTTAAATCCCATTGATTTATTATATAAAGGTTATATAGAAATTGTTTAATTTTAAAGTGAATTTAAGTACTGTGATAACTTGGTATTTAAACATTAATTGCATTATATTGTTTAGGGATAAGAATAAAAGAATGAATTGTTAAAATACTGTATTTTCCCCCTAACTCCTCCGAATTAATTAACCTGATCCTTATATAACGACATTTCATCCACCCCCAACCAATTAGTATATGAAAATTTGGGGAAAAATAACACAAAAGACAACGATGGCAACATCCTCATTAACAATAACTAAATCAGGGAAAAAATTAACAACAAACCCAATACCTACACAATCTTCACCTGCACAACAAAAAACCATAGATACGATGCTAACCACAGACAAAGAAAAAGCTGCCACTGCACACAACATACAGAACATACAGTCCATATTAGCTATGATTCAGGAGGGGATGAACAAAACCCAAGAAACAATTGCGAATAATCATGAAGAAACAAAAAAGAACCATGAGGAATTGAAATTAGAAGTAGGACAAATAAATGATAATATTAAAAAAATGGACGATAAGATCAAGAGAATACAACAAAACATAGTTAAAAACGAAGAATGAATTCAAAACATGGAAGCTAAAATGGTCCTAACGGAGAAAAAGATGGACAATATCGAACAAAATCAAATGGAGTTAAATAGAGAACTCGAAGAGTCAATTACCCATTTAGAATTAGAAAAAGCATCATTCTTTTTACGATTTCAAAATATTACAGAAACAAAAGGAGAAGATCTAAGAGACCTGATGACAGATATATTAGTAGAGGCTACCCAGAAGGAAAAAAGCGATATTAGTAGGGAAATTGACGAAATATATAGAGTTCATACAAACTATGCTCATAGGAACAAACTACCTAAAGAAATACATGTCAGATTCGCACGTAAAACTGTAAAAGAAGAGATTTACACGTCCATGAGAGAGGGAAAACCCTGCTACCAAGGGAAAGAAATAATAACCCTAAAACAAGTTCCAAGAAGAATAAGAGGGTACAGAAAAAACTATAATTTCTTGACAACCCTACTGAACCAACACAAAATAATGTTCCGCTGGCTGGTGCCGGAGGGAATCCTAATATCTTGGGATGACAAAAAATATAAAATCGATACGATAGAGAAGGCACAAGAATTTTTTGACACTCACTTTATAATAGAAGAGGAACAGGAAACTAGACATGATTCAGAAAATGCAAATCAGGAACATTCCATGGGGGAAACAAAAAAAGAAAAGGAAGAGAAGGAGTCTAGGGAAAGGGAGAAGATGGAGAGAGAAGGGGCTAGGGGGAAAACACAAATGGTAACAAGAAACACAAGTAGACTTAGACTAACAAAGAAAAACTAAAGGAAATGGGACGAGAGTTGAAATTAATTTCAATCAATATAAAGATGGCCTTACTCTTCCTTGACGCACAGAAGGTGTTCGACAACCTTAATTGGGGATTCTTAATACTGCAATTAGAAAAAATGGGAACCGGCGATAAATTTTTAAATATGATTAAAACAATATACTCAGACCAAATTGCAAAAATATGGATAAACGGAGAGACAACAGACCAATTCAAAATATCCAAGGGAGTGAGACAAGGTTGTCCTCTCTCTCCTATATTATATATATTAGCATTGGAACCACTGTTGAATGAAATTAGGAACGACAATGAAATAAAAGGATTAAGAACAAAAAACCAGGAGTATAAGTTACAAGCATTCACGGACGACGTAGTATTCATTTTAGAATGACCAAAACAATCAGGACTGAATTTACTAAGGAAGATAGATCAATATGGCGAAGTGGCAGGATTGAAAATCAATAGACAAAAAACAAAACTACTAACCAAAAATTTGACAAAAACCCAGGAGAAAGAATTAGAAGAGACATTAGGAATACAAACAACAACAAAAATAAGATATTTAGGAATCTGGCTCACCAATAAGGTATCATCCCTCAAAGAAGACAATTATATTAAATTGGCTAAACAAATCCAGAAGGACTTAGAGGCATGGAGTAAATTGAAATTATCACTACTAGGCAAAATTGCTTCAATTAAAATGACAATTCTACCAAAAATATTATATCTATTTAGAACAATACCGATAAACCCAGGAAAATCATATTTCAAAGATCTCGATAAAATGACATTAAAGTATATATGGCAAGGAAAAAGAGCTAGGATTAAACTGAAACACCTGCAAGACACCAAAGAAAGGGGTGGCCTGGGACTACCAGATTGGCAAACTTATTACACTGCAACAGCTTTAACCTGGATTAAGGATTGGATGACACTCAAAGATAAACGAACACTAGCACTAGAAGGATTTGATTTGTCAAAAGGCTGGCACGCATTTTTATGGGAGGAAAAGCCCAGACAACATGAACACTTCAGGAGACATTATATCAGAGGAGCATTGTCAAAAATTTGGACTGAAATAAGGAGAAAACACTACGACAAAATCCCAAGATGGCTATCAACCATGGAGGCCCAAATCTACCCAAACACAATGGATACAGACAAGATGAAAACCTATGACGAATTGTTGAACATAGAGGGAGATATGAAAACAAGAGAGGAACTGAGACAACAGGGCACGGATATTGATTGGTGGCCGTATTTACAGATAAAATCAAGATATAAAAGTGATATGGAAAAATTTGGAATCCAAAAAGAAAGAAATTTATTTATTTATTTATTTATTATTCGAATTTCTATACCGCCCTTCTCCTTTCGGACTCAGGGCGGTGAACAGCCAAAATAAAAACATTTATACATAAATACGATTAAAAATAGATTTAAAATAATTAAATTTGGCCCATAGTTTAAAATTTATCAATTTAAAATCCATATCAAAATTTAAAACCAACCATAAAATCATAAAATCAAGAGAGACCGGCTAACTGAAAGAGATGAGTTTTTAGGGCCCGATGAAAGGTCCGGAGGTCGGAGATCACTCGTATCTCTGGGGGTAGATTGTTCCAAAGGGTAGGTGCCACCACAGAGAAGGCTCTCCTCCTGGGGGTCGCCAGCCGGCATTGTCTAGCCGACGGCACCCTGAGGAGGCCCTCTCTGTGGGAGCGAACTGGCCGGTGGGAGGCAATTGGTGGCAGAAGGCGGTCCCGTAAGTACCCCGGCCCTAAGCCATGGAGCGCTTTAAAGGTGGTCATCAACACCTTGAAGCGCACCCGGAAGTCCACCGGAAGCCAATGCAGCTCGCGCAGGAGAGGAGTCACATGGGAGCGCCCAGTCGCTCCCATAATCCCCCGCGCGGCCGCATTCTGCACCAGTTGGAGCCTCCGGGTGCATGAATTAGATAAAATGATGAATCTAATCTAATAATGAATTAGATAAAATTATAATGCAATCAGATGACAAATTAATAACTAAAATATATAATTATCTACTAAAATACAAATTGGAAGAAGAGGTGGTGAAGGAAAATATGATTATTTGGGCTAAAAACTTTGGATATAATATTAACCTTGAAAATTGGGAAAAAATATGGAAAGTAAATACTAAGCTGACAATGTCCGTGCCCTACAAAGAAAATACATACAAGATGTTTTATAGGTGGCATCTCCCCCCTGCACGGTTGGCAAGGATGTTTCCCAATACTAATCGGAATTGTTGGAAGTGTAAAATACAGAAGGGGACCTACTACCACATGTGGTGGTCGTGCCCAAAAGTCAAAAAATTTTGGAAAACAATTCAAAGTCAGCTGGAAGAAATTACCGCCCAAAAAGTACCCCTCAGACCGGAAACTTACCTATTAGGTATACTGACAAAGGACTATAAAAAAGAGACACAATACTTGATAATACACATCCTAACTGCAGCTAGAATCGTCTTCGCACAAATGTGGAAATTGGAAAACACGCCACCAGAAGAAAAAATAATACAAAAAACAATGGAATGTGCAGAAATGGATAAACTGACCAAAGAAATACAGGGAAAAGAAGATACAGACTTTTACTTAATTTGGCAAGAATGGTACAACTGGTTAGATAAAAAAGACACGAAATAAGGGAATACCACCCAATGATACAAAAATAAGGAAATAAAATGAAATATCGTTATATAAACAAGATGAAAGACAATATATATAGACATATTGATATATAATTACCGAAGTAACTCTATTTTCAAAGTTCAAGTTCTATGACTTGATTTCATTGTATAGTTAGTTTATGTTTAGTTTGTTTAAACGTTTATGTCTGTATGTGTATGTTTGTTTACAATAAAAAATTTAAAAAAAAAGAAAGAAAGAAAAATGAAGCTAAGCAGGGTTGGGGTTGGTTAATCCTAGGATGGGAGACCCCCAAGGTTGTATGATAGTTTGAGGAATCTCAGAAATCCCATCAGCAACAACCAATCTCAGGTTGATGTTGAGGAATGTCCAGACTTGACTTGAAGGAGGCATTTGGCCGTATCCTCTGAAATACTGAATGATGGCAAAGCCAGAGAGAGGTGAACGGAAACATTTTTCATCTCATTCTCTGGAGTAATCCCATGGCAGAACTCACTACGGAAAGGAACCTCTCTTTTCAGAGGCAGTCTACCCTAGGCTGCCAGCCTGGAACAGCCACTGTCTCAGCTATGGGCTTCTCGCCAGATGGAGAATTCCATTTTCCCCCTGAAGGCTCCCATGGACCTTCCTTAAGCAGAGCAAAACGGTGAGAAAGTCCCAACAGCAGGATGGACCACAACCACCGTACCTCCCTCTTCCCCCTTGTTTTGGGTTTGATTGCCACACAAGAGCAAAGCTCAGTGGCCCTACCTGGCTCCAGGTACACAAATGCCACCACCACCAAGGACAGCAGCAGAGTTTTCATCTTGCAATCTTCTCTTCAGCTTGCAAAGTGTAGCCCAGGATGGAAGCAGGCACTTATTTATGCCCCTCTGAGATGGGGGGCTGGATATCTAGGATTAAGAGAGAAGAACGGGGAGGTTCAGGAGAAAAGGGAAGGGCAGGGGGTGTGGCCTTTTTGCCCCCGACACCAAAACGGAAACTGGATCAGATCATGTGACAATTCCTGTCTTCAAGGCGAACACTACCGTGCCGAGTGCAGAACCTGGGCACCTGGACAATTAGCGTCTCTTCCTGTATTTATACAAGATTATACAATCCTTACCTAAAACAAAATTAAATAAAATATCTCTCTGCAAAGTTCTGCACCTTCCTATTTTTTATTCGTACTTCAATTAACCAAGTGGGCAACTTCTCTGAGTTTTTTAATTTTACTTTTTATTTATTTTGTCAAGCATGTATTAGATAACAGATATAAGTATAAACATGATTATGACTACGTGAAATGGATATGAATAAAAACGGGACATTAAGACATGATGATGCACTTATGCACACCCCTTACAGACCTCTTAGGAATGGGGTGAGGTCAACTGTAGACAGTCTAAGGTTAAAGTTTTGGGGGTTTGGGGAAGAAACTACAGAGTCAGGTAGTGCATTCCAGGCATTGACCACTCTGTTGCTGAAGTCGTATTTTCTGCAATCGAGTTTGGAGCGGTTTACCTTAAGTTTGTATCTATTGTGTGCTCGTGTGTTGTTGTGGTTGAAGCTGAAGTAGTCATTGACAGGTAGGACATTGTGGCAGATAATTTTATGTACTACGCTTAGGTCAGACCGAAGGCAGCGTAATTCTAAATTGTCTAATCCCAAAATTTCAAGTCTGGTGGCATAAGGTATTCTGTTGCGAGCAGAGGAGTGGAGGACTCTTCTCGTGAAATATCTCTGGACTCGTTTGATTATATTAATGTCCGATATGCAGTGCGGGTTCCAGACGGATGAGCTGTATTTGAGAATTGGCCTAGCAAATGTTTTGTATGCTCTAGTTAGCAGTACAATATTACCAGAAGAAGAAACTATACAAGATTAGGTTAACAACTCTTAAAGTCTTTTTGGCAATGTTGTTACAGTGAGCTCTGGCACTTAGATCGTTAGAGATGAGTACTCCAAGGTCCTTGACAGAGTGAGGGTCGTCTACTAGGTCATATCTGCCCAGGTTGCATTTTATGTTCTGATTTTTTTTGCCAATGTGTAAGACAGAGCATTTGTTGGTTTATATTTGAAGATGCCAATTGTTTGACCAAGGTCTTTTTGAAGGGTAGCAGCATTTTTGGTGGTGTTGAATAGGAGTATTACATCATTAGCAAAGAGAACGCAGTTGCTTTATATGATGGCAAAGGTCATTTATATAAATAAAGAGTGTTGGTCCTAAACCTTTGCCTTGGGGGACTCCGCTGTTAACAGGTAAAGGATTTGATAGGGCGCTTCCTATTTTGACCATTTCTTGCCTGTTTGACAGGAACTCAGCTATCCAATTATGCAGGGGTACAGACAGGCCATAAGATTTTAGTTTTAGAGGAGGCCCGGAAACGGTCCATTTGCCAACTTCCAGTTTGCCTCCGGAGGGCCTCCAATAGGGGTGGGGAAGGCCATTTTTGCCCTCCCCAGACTCCTAGAAAGGCTCTGGAGCCTGGGGACAGCAAAAAACAGGCCTTCCCCACCATCCCCCGAGGCCCCTCGGAAGCAGCAAACAGCCTGTTTCCCTACTTCTGGTGGGCCCAGAAGGCCCGAAAATCAGCTGGCCAGTGCGTGCATGCATGCCGGAGCTGAGCTCATATGCTCACCAATATGGCTACGTGTGCCACCTGTGGTTCGCCATCACGGGTGTACGGTTTCCTGCTTGAGTGGGGGAGAGTTGGACTAGATGACCTATAAGGTCCCTTCTGACTCTGTTAATCTGTTAAATCTCACTCTGCTTTCCTTCAGACAAAGCCTCTGTTGTGATATACTGATTTTCGGTTCTACACAACTCATCGCATTTTCAAGATGAAAATGGAGGGAGACTGAAAAACAGTTTATGGATCCAGAATAAGTGGTCTCCTGCCTGAAGGATAGAAGGTGCATGATGGATTTAACATTAACCAAAAATAAAATTAAAAATACCCAGGCGTTTAGCATGGAAAGATATTACCTGAAATGCAAACATGATTGTGTTGCAACTGTGAACTTTTTTAACAACGAACCAAATGAGAGAATGCCACGTCCCCGTTCACAGCTTATTTCCAGAGGCACGCTAATAGGGACAATACAAATAGGCAAATAATTTTGCACGGTGTGCAATGTTTGCCTTGCATAAGCAATGACAGGTGCACGTCTCTCTTAAGCCCCGTTGTATTTGGAGGTACACCAAGACTTTTTAGCCAAGATTTAGTACCTCAATCAGTCAACCAGAAACATCAAAATATGCACAAGGAGAGGGCAAGGGGAGAAACAGTGAGGTGGGGATATAACAGAATTTTAGTTGGTGCAGAGATCATACAATTCTTTGCATCTCATCCTCATTTTGAGCACAATGGTAATTTTCAAAGATTGATGTTTAAGGTGTGCAAACTTTGCTTTAAATGAACAGTTGAAGTTCCTCCTTTAAGTTCTATTAAGCTTTGTAGTGGAGAAAGTCTGAAAATTAAATGATTTGCTCCAAGTTCTTCCATGCAATTCTCAGTCAAAGCATGTTAATTGAATTAGTCACCTTGAATTAGAATTTAGAATATATTTTTTTTATTGGCCAAGTGTGATTGGACACACAAGGGATTTGTCTTGGTGCATGTGCTCTCAGTGTACACAAAAGAAAAGATACGTTCACCAAGAATCATAAGGTACAACATTTAATGATAGTCATAGGGTACAAATAAGCAATCAGGAAACAATATCAATATAAATCGTAAAGATACAAGCAACAAAATTACAGTCATACAGTCATAAGTGGAAGGAGATGGGTGGTGGGAACGATGAGAAGATTAATAGTAGTGCAGACTTAGTACATAGTTTGACAGTGTTTTTTTATAAAGTTTTTTTTTATTTTTTTAGACAAACACACATACAAACATACAATGTATTTTCTTTGAACAGGTTATTTTGCCAGTTCACAAATTTAGACAGTATTTAGCCGTTTCAATTTAAATTTACAATTTCTATATTTCCTTTTTGCCATATTCATTTCTCATCTATTTTTTAAGAACCAATATTACCCATCATTCTCATCTCTAATCTTAATTAAATTCAGTTTTTTCTCTTCTATTCTATATTATACCCCTTCCCATTGTCATCTATTTGTATATCTTTCCTCACTTTGGTTAGTTATATAATGTTACAGTAGTTTAATTCTTATGATAATAATAAATCCGCTTATTTTATAACATACATTTCCTTCGATAATACAAATCCAACATTTTAATATAGATCAGATAGTTATATAACTATCTTTTATATATATATTAATCAATATAAACATGAATATTCCAGTTATTTCCATACAATCCAATTCCTTACAAATCAATTAATTATAGCCAATTCTGCTTTCAACATAATGTACAATTGGAAGTATTTCATGTTGCAATATTTTCAGGATCAGACTCAATAAAGATAATAGGAGTTAGAGCTTTAAATATATTTCTTTTTAATTATGATAGGCATTCTATATTCACTGAATATTCAAGGTAGAAGCGACGAGAATGGTGAGGGTGGCTCCTTATATATACAAGGGGTGGAGCTAGGAATGGGAGTGGTAAGTTATGAATACATTAAAGTCCAAAGAATAAGTTAACCTCTGATGTTCCATATATACATTATTTACACATTGGAGAATAAGGCATTTACATCTGACAAATCCCCCTCTAAATGCCGGTTCGTTACACAATACCAATTACATTCTGATTCAGGACAATATAATACATATAATTTAGAAGTTAAATATTTGTGTTGTTTAGAAGGTAAGGGTTTTGTTAATATGTCAGCTAATTGTTCAGAAGTATCGCAATGTATTGCTTTAATGAATCCGTCTTGAGACAGTTGTCTCACATGCTTAAACTTTATATCAATATGCCTGGACCTTTGTCCAATTGCATCGGATCTGGATATTTCAATGGCCGCTTTATTGTCTTCATGCATAATAAATGGTAAGGTGGGTTTCTTCCAAACATCAGTGATCAGATCATTGAACCATACAAGGTTATTTGCAGCCTTGGACAAACAAACATATTCCGCTTCTGTAGTAGAAGTGGCTACTAGTTCTTGTTTACCAGTATACCAGTAAACTGGACAATCATTCAATAGAAAAACATAACCAGAAGTACTCTTTCTGCATGATGTATCACCAGCCCAATCTGCATCAGCATAACAAGTAATTTTTGGTTCTCTGTCATTATTGGGTTCCAACATTAAATAAAAATCTAATGTACCCTTCAGATATCTTAGAATTCTTTTGACAGCTTCCCAATGATACAAGGTTGGTTTACTAACATATCTTGACAATAGATTGAGAGGTAATGCAATATCTGGCCTAGTCCAATTAGATATATAAAGGAGTGAACCTATAACTGATCTGTAAAATGTGTTGTCTTTAAACTCAGGGGAAGATTCATCAGTGTTTCTAAGGAAATCAGTTTGCATAGGGGTGTCACAGGTTTTAGCATTATTTAAGTTACATTTGTTTAGGAGTTCGATGATTTTATCTTTCTGTGTAAGTTTGAATCCCCTTTTAGTTTTGTTAATTTGCACACCAAGGTATTTATTCACTTTACCCAGAGATTTCAGTGAGAAGTGTTCATTTAACTTATTTACAAAGATTTCCCTGCTCTCTTTATGCTTTCCAATGTATAAAATATCGTCCACGTAAATTAATACAAATTCAATATGATCATTACTCTTTTTTACAAAGAAACAGTTATCAGCAGTGGTGGCGTTGAAATCCATGGTCTTAAGTACTTTTACCAAGCAATCGTACCATCTTTTGCCGGATTGCTTTAATCCGTACAGACTCTTATTTAATAACCAAATTTCGTTCTTATTAGTGTATTGACTGTGTGGTGCTCTTACATATATTTCCT